TATATATATATATAGTAAATGGACTGTACTTGTACAACACCTTTCTATCTTATCAAGAAACTCAAAGTGCTTTACACTACAATCTGTGCCCTCATTTACCCATTCATGCAGTACTTTACCTGTAAAAAGATTCATCAGTACTTTTACATCACATTCATACACTAATGGAACACACATCAGATGCAATGAGGTGTTCAGTGTCGTGCCCGTGGACACATCAGAATATGACTATTGGTGGATTTTAACCCCCAACTATTCAATTTGTTTTTCTAATTCTTTATTATTATTATTATTATTTATTTATTTATTTTATTTTTTTTTTTTCAAATTGACAATTTTACTCTGCATGCACCAGAAAATCCTTTCATAAATTTTATGGCATCAATGTGAAACTGGGTTATTCTTGTTATTGAATACAGGGCTGGAACTCCCAGTGACGTCACTCTAGTTCATTAAAAATCAACTATTCAAACCTGCAACCATGTAAGCCCAAGTAGTTTTTATCCAGGCCAGGAGATAAATCATCAAATCAAACAAATTGTGTTGAGCAACAAAGCATGAAGCAGCAGCGTAACAGTGGTCTGAGCCATGGTTTAAAACCAAACTTTTGTTATTGTCCTCCTGCAAGGAGCTGTAGCCACTGGTCCGGTTACTGCTCTGACTGCTGGTCCCTCAACAGAATGCTGAAGATAGCATGATAATGGCCTGCATAAAAGAGAAATAAAGCTTCAGGCAGTGTTTCGCATGAATTCTTTCAAACGTGCTCGGTCATGTGTGGCGTTCGGATTTTTCAGGAACTTTGGCCTTAATTAGCGTTTTCTAATTTGATTAACTTTAAAGGAAATCACTACAATGTCAATAAACAATTCACAAAGTAAGGAATATATATTTGCATGTTGATGGATAACACATCCTTAATGGTCCTGCTGCCCTTGGGTCAGCAGGAGGGTTGATGGTTTAATGTATAATATCAAACAGACAAATTTGTACAAAAAGCACTGATGCATTTTTGAATATAAAAGTTTATTGTAACTGTCACTACAGATATCCAATATTCATACTCTAACTATTAAAACAATCCATACATTGAATAATGACCAGCATCAACATCATCACAAAGATTTATAATAAAGATCAGATTAGGAATGAGATCATCAGAGGTACAGCACAGGTTGAACAACTGGGAGATAAACTTAGAGAGACCAGACTGAGATGGTTTGAACATGTCCAGAGGAGGGACAGTGGGTATATTGGTAGAAAGATGTTAGAAATGCAGCTGCCAGGAAAAAGACAGAGGAGATACAGTAACCCCTCGCTATTTATATTGACTTTCACGGATTCGCTTTTTTGCAGTTTTTCAAAGTAAGAGTGAACATGACACACAACTGGTTGATTGATGGATGAGCCGCACAATTGGCATGGATTGTTTATTTAAAATAAATGATTTGAAATAAATTTAGCACATGCTATATCATTAGGTGCAGGGAGAAGCTCCCTACTGCAGTCTGTCATGATCTCCACTCTCTGCCACCTGCTGCTCTCTGCCACGCCCACATTTCTGCTCTGTACTGCATCTATTGCGTGAAGGGTTAACGCTTTGCTGTCCTGCTGCGCTTCTCTTCTCTATCCATCTTCTCAATCCATGGATTGTTTATTTAAAATTTTACAGTATTTAAATTTAAATTGTTTATTTACACAGAAAGAGGGAGATTGGGAGCAGGTGATGAGTGTGACTGCAGCAGAGAAGTGGACTGATAGAGAGCAGCCGGAGGCAGAGAGCAGAGATCATGACATTCAGTGCTCTTTTACAGCGTTTAGAGTTTAGAAACATTGTTTAGAATATTGCAAGAATGTGGGAAGGGTTTATAAAACCTTATATGTATATATCAGAGTCAGAGTCAGAGTTTCTTTATTGTCATTCGCACCTCATGTGGTACATGTGGTGGAGCGAAATTATGTACACGGGGTCCCAGTTACATCCAACAATAAAATGTATAAGAAAAACAGTAATAACATCTAAGATATGAACTAAGAAAAACATCAACTAAATATACACTAAGCACTCATAACATAAAACATTGAACATCAGCACAAACATGAACATGAGTCTGTGAGCAGATGTGCACGCATGAACACATCAACATTGAAACAGATCAGCAGCAACATGAAACAGATCAGCAGCAACATGATGTGGTTTTTCACAGTGATTATTATTATTCTAGTTAGAGATTCATGAGTCTAACAGCCTCAGGGTAGAAGCTGTTCCTCAGTCTAGTGGTTCTACACTTAATGCTCCTTAACCTCCTTCCTGAGGGGAGTGGGGCAAAAAGTGTGTGTGCTGGGTGAGTGGGGTCTTTCATGATGCAGGTGGCCCTCTTCCTGCATCTGGAGGTGTAGATGTCTGTGATGGTGGGGAGGCTGATTCCGACAGATTTCTGTGCAGCCTTCACCACTCTCTGCAAAGCTTTTCTTTCTGCAGCTGTATATATATATATATATATATATATATATA